CCCCTATAACTTTTTTATTTTTTTAGATAAAAAAAATAGATTTGGTATGTTAGTATATGATATAAATTATGACAGATTGACGTATTCAATTGTTTTTAGTGACTTCCTATTTCACCGGAAATGACTACAAGTTTTGATTTATAAATAATACCCTCGGCATTTTTTTACTTTATTCAATAGAAAATGACACTCTGAATAGAATGACGTATCATATGTCAACTTTTGATATTTCCCATATAGTTTATTTGAAATTGTAACATGTGGTTCATAATGACAATTTGTCTCGAAATACGTACCGTCTTATACGTATTGTTGAAATATACCGTATGATCGAGAAAAAAAACGGCGTCCAGTTGGCTTGGAAATGACGATCGATGACATTTCCCATATAATTTTACATATAAAATGACAGCGATATTCATTTCATAGCCATCGCTGACGCCGTTTTTATTCGATCATACGGTATAAGTGTTTGGTGCCAAATTATTCGCAAAAAAATGCTTTTTCCAAATATGCTAAAAATACGATTTGGATATCTTTTAACCGGCCAGGATAAGACATGAAAAACATTCGATGAACAAATCTATTTTTTAAGGTTCCCTGATTAAAAATTAGTGTTTCTAACACAGCCATGGCACTGTAGATTGAAATTTAAAATACGATTTTTTAAGCGAAACTGTTAAAAATTGACATATGGTATGTCATTCTATTAAGAGTGTCATTTTCTATAGAATAAAGTAAAAAAAACCGAGAGTGCTATTTAAAAATCAAAAGTTGTAGTCATTTCCGGTGAAACAGGAAGTGACCAAAATTAATTGAATACGTCAATCAACCTTAAAATATAGAGAACAACAACGCTGCTGACATGTATACGTAGACGTAAAAAATTGTATACGCAAATACGTGTAAAAATATAAGAAATGCGCATGCGTACGTAAACTTATGTCACATACTAACATACCAAATCTCGTTTTTAAACGGTTTTATTTAGCTCGACTGGTACGGTATTTATTTATTTGTTTGTTTATTTGGGTCAAAATTAGAAATTGAAATTTAAGTACCTTCCTGTTGTCAGATTGATCTGAAATTTGGTACACACCTTTAGTTCCGATGACAATACAATATGTAGATAACAGATGTACCATCAGTTTGGATTGACTTTGGCAGAGACGGCATACACGTTATACACCCGAAAGCCATACAGTTTCCAGCAAAATTCAATTATGGTACGGCTGAAAGAAGGATGTTACCCTTAATTTTGTCATGGGCATCCACCGTCCATAAAATGCAGGGCAGCACAGTCGACCATGCAGTAGTGTATTTGGGCTCAAAATTGTTTGAGGAAGGGCAAGCATACGTGGCTCTAAGTCGAGTCAAGTCTCTGGGAGGGCTATGTATTGAGGAATTAGATTGTAATAAATTATCAGGTAAAAAACCATGTAATAATGATGCACTAAATTAATTAAATAGAATGAGGAATATTCGGTAGGCATTTCCGTTAAATACTAAAAACTAGAAAATAAAAAATCGGTAAAAACTTTGTGTTAAACGAGTTTTTATCTTATGTGCACCGAAAACTGTAGTAAATAATAATAACAATTAGGTATTTTTGAACTTCCTAGTTCAGAAAATATTTTAGTACTAGGGCAGAATATATAGTGAAGCAGGCATGATTAGACTAAAATAAAAACGGGGGCCCATCTTCTATACTAAGTGTGGATTGCATCGACTTACTATAATCGTAACTGGAGATTTTGACAATCAATAACCAGCCGTGGCGGCTTCACCAGCGAACGCCGAGCTCATGATCTACCAAAGTATAAAGATATGCTTTGCCATAGGTAGGATTTCAGAGGGGCCCCACGTTTTTATTTTAGTCTAATATGCCTAAAAGCTATTCTGCCTAGTACTAAAATATTTCTGAACTAGAAGTTCAAAATACCTAATTGTTATTATTATTTTCTAGTTTTCAGTGCACATAAGATAAAACCGTTTAACTTAAAAGTTTTTTTTACCGATTTTTTATTTTATCTGAAGAAATAAAAAGTTATAGAGGTTAGTCGCTTTTAGAGACGCACCCGGTATACCCTTTATATTACTTCGCTTTTAGATGTACTCGTATATTTAATAATGACCATTTTTTTTATTTAAAGTGTTTTATTTAGGCTTTTTCAATAATACAAGTCCAAGACATAAAATAAAATACTAAGTGCTTTTGATAGAAATTTAATGGTGGAAAGAACAAATATATTTTTTATAATCATAAATTTTAATTTATAATTTATAATAAATTTGTATTTTGAATAAGGTACTTTACCCAATTAAGGCCAGGTCTACTATAAGGCCATACGCCACCTAGCGACAGAAAACAAACCTAACGTAAAAATTGTGACTAACAATAATATATACCCATGCGCTCTATAACTTTAGTCTATGGGTGGTTTCAAAAAATCGCCAACAGATGGAGTTACAGCACATCGTGGTTTGTAGCCGTTTTCGTTAACGGGATTCTTGTATATGTTGTTTGTGATTTTATATTGAAATTGTTTTTTATAACTTTTCTTTTTACATAAGGAGTTAGCAAGGTAAGTTAGCTTAATGGTAGTAATTTGGGTTTTTTGTTATTTTCAACTTTAAAGGAGTTACGAGGGTTTGTTGTTTTAAGCTTATGTGTTCCTAATAAAGCCACCTGAGCCTTGTTAGGAACTATGTGGCCTTATTAGGTTCTTACCTATTTTCTTCTCTATTCTCAGAACATACCACCCACACAAAGAGCAAAATGGTCCAAGCAGCAGTTGAGGAGAGCTCTTTAAGAGTATAAATCAGGGAATGCCTGTCCTGACAGCGGCTAAGCGCTATGATATTCCGAGACGAACCCTTCGAAACCATGTCACAACTGGAAGTTTCGTTAAGAAATTGGGGAGATCCTCAATACTAACCGTAGAACAAGAAAATGAGTTGTGTCAACGTATTATAAGGTTAGGCAATATGAATATGAGCATGACCACAAGTGTTTTTTGTAAGTGGCTACAGCACTTCGCTAAATTTTAGCCCGAAGGAGACGTTTTGCTGATAATGGATGGAGCAGCCTCTCACCTAGATATTTCTGTTTTTGAAACTGCAGATGCATTGGGAATAACTCTTTTGTGTCTGCCTAGCAACACCACACACGAGTTACAACCACTTGATAAATGCGTTTTTCGCAGCTTTGAACATTATTGGGACGAGGAAGTATTACTGTATTGGACAACTTTTCCTGATAGGAAAATAATAAGAACTCGGTTTGGTAAGATACTAAGCGAAATTTACCCAAAAGCTATGTCTGTGAAAAATTTACAGTCGGCTTTTGAAGCCACTAGAATATTTCCATACAACCCTAATTCCATACCAGAAATTGCATTTGCTTCTAGTAGATTGTCCTATCGTGCATCTCCTGCAGCTAATAATGAAGATGGAATGGAAGATCCACAAATAAATCCTCGTAACGAAGTAACGTAAAGCTCTTCAGAATCAGAAGAAGGATCCGATAGTGATTCTGATAATGAACCACTCATCAATTTGGTTCTGAAGAAGAAAATCTCTTTGGATTGTAACGGTAATAAAACTACTGATGCAATTGAACCTGAAACTAGGAATGAAAATCAAGACTCAATTTTGAATGAATCGAGGGAGAGTATCAAGGAATTGTTTCAACACCCGAATTAAAAATTCTAGTCACTAAACGACGCAAAGCAATTAATTCAGCTGCTCAAAGTTGTTGTCAGAGATTTATTTAACAAACCTTCCACTAGTTTTGCGGTACCTTCGACGAGTAACAGAGAAAATTTAACTCCTTCGACTTCCAAAGTTAAGAATAAAAATAAAGCTTTAAAAGTAAAAAGCCATCAACGGAGAGTTGGTACTGCTTTATTTGTAAGGAAGATAGGGTGTTAGACATGCGACTTTGTGTGTTGTGTTGCCGATACGTCCATGAGGAATGTGTCGGGTTATGCAGGGATAATAAAACCAAACCAAAACCATTCTTGGTTAAATAAAAATGTTATCAACAAAAAATTGTTTTTTTTATTGTAATAGCTCCTATTTATCAATTTCTGCACGTGGCCTTTAAAGGTGCCTGGGTTACCCAATAAGGCCAAGTGCAGTGTTTTTAAAAAAACAAAAAAATTCCACAAAACAAACAAAAAATTATACTTATTTTGATGTAGGATCAACATATATGAAGCACTAATTGTTCCCCAATAGTTTCTACAAGGGTTGGATTAATATTTTTCTTGCAATGCCCCTTTAAACCTTAACGTGGCCTTAATTGGTTCAGGTACCTTATGTTTTTAAAAGAATGCAGCAAATATACTACTATATTTTATCTTTTATTAATATACCAAGTGACACTGAAAATGCAACACCTATGAAGATATGGTATCTAACGTATCTAACTGTACCCAACCCAACCAACTCAGTTTTGTGTTTAGTAAAAAAAGTATTAAATAATTCTGGTGATTCAAAAAAAGAAATATTTAATACTTTACTAGCAGAATATAAACAAAAATAAAATAAAAAACTTTTATACCCCAAGCCGGTCTCCAATTCCGACTTCTCTCATCGGAACCTCTGCGCGCTGCGCTATGGAGACTTGTTCGATTTTTATTGAATACTAGAATTTAACGGACTAAATAAAAAAAATACCGGATCTTTTTCCGATGCGCAGTAGTATGCTGTTCCACAGAGCATAGTAAAAGATATATCAAAGAGCCAGATTTCTTAAAATACTTTCTCGAAAACGTTGCTAGCTCCTAGACTATAGGATCCTATATATATATCATTAAAAAACATATTATGATACCTCCAGGTATCCGATGTACGGTTGAAAAAACTTGTTTGTTTGATTTAAAGGTTACATGTTATAGTATGTTTTATTACAGTTGGAGTAATATAGCTGGATTTTTTCTCAATTGCAGGAGGTAAGCAATTTCAGATAGGATTAAAAAAAATATGGAACTTACCTTTCATCACAGTTACAGTGCATTAAAGTATTCAATCTCCAATTGAATAATCCATATTTCGTTTGAAATCCTCCGATCCAGAAATGGCAGAACAGATCATGTTTTCGACAGCACCTGAAAATCGTTTAAGAATTTCAGGCATTAGTTAAAGTTTTTTTTTAGGATTTTAGAGTTGCAAAAATATAAAACTCAAAGCAATTAAAACGTAAAGTCTGTCCAACGAGCCAGGGAAGATTTCGACAGACGGCATCCAAAAAATTACAGGAAATTTAATTTATCTGTGTAGTAAAATGAGAAGTCACAAAACTCACTGTCAGAGATCCTCTCGTTGGACAAACTTTATATTATAATACCTTAAATTATTAAGGATATACAGGGTTGTTCACCACATACGACACGGAGTATTGTAGCTAAACGATTAGATTTTTACAAATCGTAAGTTTTGGGTTCGGTAAAGGACTATTAGAGCTACAATTTAAAAATATTTTTACAAGATACAAAGTGTCCCAAATAAGTAAAAAATATTATAGTTGAATTTTTTTAAATGGAACACCCTGTATATTATTCTATTTTTAGATTCTACGATTAAAATAAAGGTAAATTTTATTAAGGTTTATCACACTTAAACCTTACCGTTTTTGAAATATTTTCAATTTTATAAAATTGCAGTAAAAATTTTAAGGCTTCATTTCCATTAAACTTGAAAAGATAGGTAAAAAATTGTATAATAAAATTTGATAGACAATTAAATTGTGCATATGATTCATGTAAAATATACAGGGTGTTCTATTTAAATTAAACAAGTTATTGCCGTTTAAAGCTAGTAATTATTTAATATAAATTTTTGGACACTCTGTATAAGGTAGTAACATTTTTATTATTGCAACACAATATCTGATCAATAAATAATCTTCAGTAAATATTTAGTATTAAAAACTTTGATACCCTTGGAGAAATGAAGCTTTAAAATTTTTAGTGCAATTTCATAAAATTGAAAATATTTCAAAAACGGTAAGGTTTAAGTGTGATAAACCTTAATTAAATTTACCTTTATTTTAATTGTAGAATCTAAAATAGAATAATATACAGGGTGTTCCATTTAAAAAATAAAACTATAATATTTTTTTACTTATTTGGTACACTCTGTATCTTGTAAAATATTTTTAAAATATTATCACTAATAGTCCTTCAACGAATCCAAAACTTACAATTTGTAAAAATCTAATCGTTTAGCTACCATACTCCGTGTCGTATGTAGTGAACAGCCCTGTATATTATACATATTCAAATCTAGAATGCCACTTTATCTAAGAAGAAAATTTCCTTCGACCGATGTGTACTACCAGTCATGACGTATGGATGCGAAACCTGGACCCTTAAGGTTAATTCTCACTATACCTTCCATATCAGCTCCCTTCTATTTCCCTTCCGTTTACATAAAATATTATATAGTGCGTAAATGAATATGGAGGACAATGCTCACTATACGTTTCGTTTCCCTTCCGTTCCATATCCTTTCCATCCATACATTTTTTTGGCGGACGAACTGAAGCGTGTCGGAAACAGCGTTGTCAAGTTCTTACATTTGTACCAGCTCTGTTAAAATTTTGCTGATATTTATTCATCTTTTCACCTCCATTATATATATGTATTATATATGTATGTATATATATATATATATATATATATATATATATATATATATATATATATATATATATATATATATATATACGGGATTTTTGATTAGACATTGGTTGTCCATTAATCAAGCATGCAGCTACTGCTGCTTTCCCGTTCGCCTTCGCCAAACCTCTCTATCAAATGTATCCAGTTCTTCCAGCTCTCTGATGCCATCGCTTGCCTAATTGTGTTGTTCCACGACCTTCTTGGTCTACTCGCTTTCTTCTTTGTGGAGGACTCCACTAAAACAGACGTTTCGGCCATCGATCTTCCGGCATTCTTAATAGATGGCCAAACCACTTGAGACCTCTGATTTCGACCCTGTCTATAATTGTCTCTGGAGCATTCATTCGGTGTCTAATCTCTATGTTGGTAATTCGGTCCATTTTCGATACACCTGCGCTCCTTCTGAGATAGTCCATTACGACTGCTGTAAGTCTCCGTTTCATTTCATTTCACCTCCATTAAATCCACCCATTAAATCTATTACCTTTTACAAAAGATACAAATTTTTAAAATAAAATTTTCGTAATGATATAAATTGTACAATAAAAAGTATGAAACTGATACGGAACGGAAGTTTACGTATAGCGTCAATACAATAAAAATACGGAACGCATATGGAATGGATGAGAATCAACCTTTAAACGGACATCATAAGGAAACTGCAGGTAGCACAACGCTCAATGGAACGAAATATGCTGGGAATAATCAAGAGAGACCGTAAAAGGATAAATGGATACGACAAAAGACCCAGATCATAGATGTCATACACCGAGTCAAATCCCTCAAATGGCAATGGACAAGACACCTGGCAAGAAGAATGAACAACAGATGGACCATAAAAATTACAGCATGGTACGAAGAATTAAGAGACCTAGAGGAAGACCAAACCTGAGATGGGACCATAATATTAGGAACTTGGCAGGGATAACTTGGGCCCGCATAGCCAATAATAGACAACAATGGGCCCAAGAACAAAGAGAGTATTTAAATATGTAAGGGTGGCTACACCTTGGGCTACACCACAATTACAAATGGTTGAGAGAGAGAGATATGTGTTAAAGACGCATCGACTGTAGAGTCTTTTAGCGTCACTTTATCCCATTATTTATATATTTATGTCTAAACTAAACGTTCTCCGTAAATATTTATATATGTTTATATATGTCGATGTCCTTTATCTAATCCAACATAGCCTTGTTATTTTGGAAGGAAAGGGCTACCTCTGGGTTATCCACGATACCGTGTTGTCTTCGTTTTAACGCGTACTTTGGGCATTCAAAGATAATGTGTTTGACGGATATTGGAACATTACATGTTTCACAAATGGGCTGGTTCTGTCCTTTAAGTAGGTGTTCATTCGCTCCAAGGTTAGGTCGCTCTCCGCGCTGAACCTCACTTTTGTTCACCCGGCTTTTAGAAATGGTAATAACTTAAATCTTGCTGCAAAATCTGAATCAGCTGCCATTTCGAAGCTACAGGTAAAGATGAGTTATTATCTTTTATAAATTCGATATTATTATTGAATATTTTTAGGGTAGAGTTTTGGATGTCCCAACTTAACTTGTATTTGTATTTTGCTGGCACGTTGGCGTCCCTTTTCTTTTGTCCTCCAGAATGTTACATGGAAGAAAGGACAGTTTCTTTGTTTATTATTGAGCCCTCGGAAGTAATTCGAGGTAGGTTTATTTTGTTTATTAGACCTTGTTTGGTTTTAAACAAGAGTTTCATATTTTTAGGGTCCAAGGTACGGACTATTTACAAGGTACGGGCATTATCCAAGGTCCTAGTATTATCCAAGGTACGGGTAGTGTTTCCCTGTACCGTTATCTTATGGACGGACTGTGTCCAAGGTTATGGTCCAGGGTACGGACATTATCCAAGGTCCTAGTAGTGTTCCAAGGTACGGGTAGTGTCCCCATATTGCCACAATATGGATACAGCGTAAGCTCCATGCTGCTTCGCTCCCATTTCTAAGCCCAGTCAGTAGCTACGGCTGTATTGATTCATGTTGTTGTTTTGGCCAACAGGATCGCCGACAGACAGTACAGAGATATGAGCCCACCTCACGCTGTTACTGTTTGAAGCAAGATTACATAAAGAACAGCTAAGTTTAGATTTAAGTTTTAGCTTACATTTAACATTTAACACATTTTCAGTCTTAAACAATAACGTACATCTTATGTAATATCGTACAGACTATGTTTAGTGGTTAGATTGTTAAGAACATTCATGTCGATTTAATATTTAAAATATAATTTAGATCTTAGGTTTCATTGCATTACGTCTTGTAATGGTATTACTTTTATAGATATTATTATTGCACTACCTATTTTAACAGATGAATAACCAGACATAGATTCTAGAATCTACAGGTAGCAACATATCAGATTTAAAACCGCATAAAATTTAACAATTTAAATAAAGTAATGCTACCTTTCTTATATTTTCTATAACGTTACACGCATTGTATTTTTTCATAGAACATATTTAATATTATTTACATACATAGCTTTACTCGACATATCACCACTATAATAATTATTAAAATTGTACAATGCTATTTACCATCAGGATACATCATGAATGAATATAGTCACTAGTTTTAAGTAATAAACAACTGTGTTTTCTTTCTCTGTTCATGCCTGGCGCCCAATATTTATAATTTCGAGTTATTATTGTTAAATAGTTCTTTCCAGTGAAATACCTTATCCACGACTGCTCTACCAACGAAAAGCTGCCGTTCGCAGTGGTAATGTTTATAAAAAAATGCTACAACGAAATCTCTTCTAGGTAAGTTAACTACATTATTTTCAAAATAGTCCCTTTTGATTTCATGAAGCTTATTATCATTCATGTTTAAGTCCCATTCTAGTTGGATTATATTATCGATCATATGCTTGCCATAATTCTTTAGATCTTGCACGGAGAAAACGAGGTTGGTTTTATGAGGGTTGGGAGTTTTTGCAGCCAAGTAATCAGCTCTGTCATTGTCAGGAATTCCTATGTGGCTCGGAAGCCAAAGGAAAGTGATGCTGTAGTGGTTGATATTGGCCTTCTGTAGAAGCATTTTGATTGCCATAACTAGTGGATGGTTGGAGTAGAAAGAGGAGATACTTGAAATGGAACTCAATGAATCGGTAGCCACGACCCATCCCTTATAGCATGTTGAATGGCCTTAAATATTCCAAAAAGCTCTGCTGAGAATATTCCCTTTATGGAATGAAGAAATGGTTGAATAAGCTGAGAATGATGATAATGATGATGATGATGATTAAAGATAAAATATCCAATAATACGTCTTTCATGTTATTACGCTAAACTCTATGGAAAAACAATAATTTATGGCAAACATTCAGAAACTAATATTTCTAATCTTAACTTTCAATTTAACTTTAATTTAAATACGAACGAATATTATGTATATTTACTGTATAAACATAATTTTCTTTCGTCCAAGCTATTTTACCATTTCATTCACCGAAACTAATTCGTTAATCGATTCAGGTATTATATTATTCGGAAAATATTTTAAACAAAATAAATACATTTTAGAAACTTTACCTATCTGTTCTGGAAAATCCTCCCAAACGTGTATATTTATCGGCTGAATATCCTTTGCCGCACCATTTGGTACCAGGAACTCTAAATATATCGGTAATGTCCCGCTTAGATCTGAAAATAATAAGAAATCTATATTTTCGACTAATTTTAGTTCAGTTTGTTCTAAAACTTTATAAAAAACGCTAATAGTAAAAAAATAATAGATTTACCAATAAAATATATTTTATATCTTTTTTATATATAACTGTTAATACATTTTTTTGCATCGTATACTAACCTATACGTCACATTTGAGAATGTATCTTCCTGTCCCTTTAACATCTTTTTTAATTCGGTATGCTTCTTGTGACACTCCTGGCGAAGTAACGTATAATTCATCCACCTGTATTCGGCCGGTAGAGTTTTGTTGTCCAACGATTCAATCGTCACGTTACTCGTGGCCGTCAACATTTTTAAATCACTTTTAAAACTTTCTAGGAACGGTAAAACTTGGTCTCGGCGATGGCCGAATTCGCAGTCTTTCAATTGTTTCCGATCGGTGTAAATCAATTGTATAAAGTGTTTTCCATCGCTGAGTTGACGGAAGTATAACCCAGTGTCGATTCTGTAACAAAAAATCACTAGTAAATATTTAGCTGGAAGGGTATATAGTGAATTTAATAAACGCCTTTATTAAAATTAAATAAAAAAAATGTAATAAAATCGCGTTCGAGGAACCTGTTACTGAAGAACGACGATCATAATAACGCCAAAACTATAAATTATTTATAATGTGCAAATGAATTATTTATAATCGCTCCTGGAGTTAGTGTTAATGTGTGACACACGGCCGTGACGCTCGAGCTAGCGAGAGGAAAATTGATAGCGGCAGTGTTGCCACAGCTACCCCATTCGGGGAAGATCTACCCCTTTGTAAAACAATTAATCCCCGTTATCGCGTTATAATTTACCCCCATGAAAAATAAGCTTGTGGCAACACTGGGTAATGATCTGTGTCATGCGCGGCTAAGATCACTATAATAAACGTGAACCTGTACTTGATTTCATGCATATTTTCATCGGTAGGTTTATAGCTTCTGAATAACGGTCTAGGTAAATCATCTAGATCATTTGTCAGCTCAGAATTAAAATTTACAGTTAGTAACTCGCATTTTCATTGGAGGATACTGTCATATTTATTTCAAACCAATAATCAACGAGAATATTCGTATCTATACTAATATATAAAATTCTTAAGTGACTGACATACTGATTAATCACGATGCTGCTCAAACCACTCAACGTAAGAAGCTCAATTTTGGCATACAGGTTGATTCTAGGGTGTAGAGGTTCGATAAGAAGGGATTTTTCGAAATTCCAGTTCCAAGAGGGTGAAACCACCCCTCAAATATTACAATATTTTTTATTTAAAAAACGGTCAAGTTTCCGAAAAAACGCTTAAACACGTATATTTTATTTTGTTTTTTACATATTTTTAGATTTTTTAAAAATGTATACAGGGTGTTTCGAAAAATCTGGTCATTGATTAATGACGATCCTGCTTAAAGCGCTTGACGTAAAAAGCTGATTTTTGGAAAACAGATTGACTTTAGGGTGTAGAGGTTCGATATAACTCGAATTCTAAGGGGGTGAAACCACCCCTTAAATATTAGAATATTTTTTATTTAAAAACCGGGGAGTTTTTCGGAAAAACTCTTAAACACGTATATTTTATCTTGTTGTTTTACATATTTTAAGATTTTTTAAAAATGTATACAGGGTGTTTCATAAAATATGACCATTGAGTAATCACGATTCTGCTTAAATTGCTTGACGTTTAAAGCTGATTTTTGGCAAACGGATTGACTGTGGGGTGTAGAGGTTCGATAAAGAGAGGGGTTTCTCGAATTTCAAACTCCAAGAGGGTGAAAACGCCCCTCAAATATTACAATATGTCTTATTTAAAAAACGGTTAGTCTTTTGGGAAAACACTCGGACACGCATAATTTATTTTGCTTTCTTAGATATTTTCAAATTTTTTAAAAACTTATACAGGGTGTTCCAAAAAGTTGGGTAATTGATTAAACACGATTTTGCTTAAACACGATTTTGCTTAAACTTGACGTAAAAAGCTTATCTTTGGCAAACGGATTTTTCGAAAGTCAAATTCCAACGAGATGAAACTACCCCTCAAATATTACCAAGTTATATAATAATATCGCCATATTGTTTTTTCTCATGCTGACATATGTGAGAAAATTTTATCCAGGTTGTATGTTAATGGAAATTCTTGCTTTGCTTTATCATCACCATTACAAATGATTAATTCGACGCGAAGGAAGTCGCTGGTACACGCTAGTAATTTAATAAAATTACTGTAAATCTCTATAAATAATGAATTGTTTTTAATTGCTCTGTAATTTCTGTATTATTAATCCGGTAAATGATGGAGATAAACAATTGTGATTGATTAAAATTTGATTTTAAGATGAAACTTTTTTTAACAACATTCTGAGAATTCGAATAATGAATTTAATAACGACAAGACAAGTGACATCTGTCTAAAAAACCAGCGATTTAGAGTGACAATTTGGTTATGTAAAATTCAGAATGACAATTTTAATTATGCAAATGAAATACTGGTTGCCTAACGATTAACATTATTTTAAAAACAAATCCCCAAAAAGCCCAAAAAATGAACCAAATTAACAAAACAAAAACAGACCATATACTACACAAAACCAACTGTTTGTTAGTAGCAGTTAGTAGTAGTCAGAGATATAGATGTAGTAGTATTTTGGTTTAATATCCAGCCGGGTAATAGAAATATCATTTTTTAATAAAAATTAAAAAACATAGAGCAATCTGTTATTTGGGGCGGAAACATGGAGGTTGACAGAAAATAACAAAAGAAAATTACTGGCGGTAGAAATGGACGCGATAAGGAGATCAGTACGAACATCAAGGCTGGATAGAGTACGAAATGAAACAATCAGGGACAAAATGGGTAGACAAAAAACTATAGTAGAGGAAAAGCGTGCCCAACTGAAGTGGTATGGACATGTGAGAAGGATGGACAACACGCGACTGGCTCAGAAGGTACTAAACTGGCTTCCACAAAAGAGAAGGAAACTGGGAAGACCAAGGACAAACTGGTTGGAGGGTCTCAAGAAGGCGATGAGCTCAAGGGATCTGCGTGATGGAGACTGGAATGAACGGAATCAATGGCGACTAGGCATCGCACAAAGTCGACGTTTTAAAAGCGATTCTTATATACATATATAAAAAACATTATAAAATTATAAAGCTAGAGTAGCATACGGTTCTATATTAACTCTATTTTTTTTTTGATTTATAAAAAGCATTCATAAAAAATATATATCCTTTAAATCCTTCAATTTAATAGCTGTAAGTAAGAAGTTTGTTGTTGTAAGTCTTTTTGTTGCTCCTAAGAGTTAAGCATTTTTTTCTTGATTGGGCAAATTTGTTTTCCGATACCGACAAGTTAGTTCCAAAATAATTTTTTTGATTCAATTTTTAGTGGAGAATTACTAAGGCGATCCCAGAGCCAATTGATCCCTATTGTCACCAATTGGCGCTAGGGGGATCTTGTAACAAAATTGAGTAACCTAACCTAACTCATTGTCGTTCTTTACCAACCTTGTATACAAAGTTATAAACAAAATTGGAAAATTAATAAATTAAGTTCGATTCAGATTAATCATTTATGCACATTAATAGATATAAAGTTAATTAAATCTGATGTTAGATAATTAAAATCGTTTCATATATTTTACTTTTTGTCACTATTTAGAAAATTAAATTTAACACGATTTACCAATACAAAAAATCTATTAGATAATAAGAAACCGTGCAAATGGCCATTAATATGGTTTATATGTTAATAGATAAATATTTATAATCGACGTTAAGCATGATTTAAACGAATATATGTTAATGTTTCTCAACAGGACTGCGGATAATATACCGTGTAGCAATGATATCATAAATGTAAATACCTCTTTACCGAGTCTTGTAATTAGTGAAACCGTACCCATAAACACCATCCGCGTACTACCTGACACATATTTCAGTCGTGTTATTATGGGGATTTATGACAACCACCTGCCAGGAATTTTATAATAAGAGTTGTCGGCTGACAATAAAGGAATGGAACGATTTTTGGTTAGGTCATCGTGATGCAACGATACAACGATACTTTGTTATTGATGTACCTACATCTTAATTTGTCCGAAGGTGACATGAAAAGTAGCCTGTAATTATTTCGGTGCATTGTGATGCCATTATGGGAATATAATGGTACAAGAATACATTTAACAAATGTTTTGAATAAGGTACGTTTTTATAGGGTGTGTCTCTAGGACCTTCTTCGAGTAATATATCTATGCAAGTATCGTATAATCGGAAAAAAGGCGTCACAGTAGTATTTGAAATGACATTCTATCATTTATTTCTGTCAAGTTGTCCCCTACCATTTTATCTCGGCGTTTTAGTTTTGGCTGAATATTGAAAAACTATGCGTGGAATATGTTTATATCAAGTTGCAAAACTGGCTCACCTTTATAACTTTTTTATTTTTTCAGATAAAAAACGAGATTTGGTACATATAATCATTTATTTCATATACTAACATTAGTATATGGAATAAATTAGGATTGATTGGCCGTGTTCAATTTTTTTCGGCCAGTTCCTGTTTCACCGGAAATGACTACAACTTTTGATTTTAAAATGGCATTCTCGGTATTTTTTACTTTATTCGATAGAAAATGACACTCTGAATAGAATGACATATAATATGTTAACTTTTGACATGTTCGCTTAAAATAAATGTAAAATAAATATCATTGATGTGTTAAAACATTGATTTTTAATCAAGGAGCCTTGGAAATATAGATTTCATTGTGCAATGTTTTTAGTGTCTTTTCCTGGCCGGTTAAAAGATGCCCAAATTGTATTTTTAATCATATCTCAATTTTTTCAAATGGAACAAGGGTGGCCCATTAGCATACATATTTGCAAAAAGCATTTTTTACGAATAATTTGGTACACTTATATATTACTATTTCGAGTCAAATTGTCGTTATGAACCGGATGTTACAATTTCCAATAAACCATATTCAAAAATGTCAAAAGTTGACATATGATATGTCATTCTATAAAGAGTGTTATATTCTATCGAATAAAGTAACAAAATACAGAGGGTGCCATTTAAAAATCAAAAGTTGTTCTCATTTCCGGTGAAACGGGAAGTGACCGAAAACAATTGAATACGTCAATCAATCCTAATTTATGTCATATACGTGTAAAATCGCTTATTTCTGGGGCTTACTCAACCGGGTTTCACAATACAAATTCACCTCAAATATCCATTTAGTTTATCGTTGGCAAGCAGCTCTCATTGTACATGAATATAACAAAACAAACATTTACTGATCTGGATAAAATTGATAGTTAAATAGTAAAACTCACCCGGGGGTACTCCGCCCCCTAGCCACTGGTATTCTATTCAATATATCCCATTCCATATCTTCCATCTAATTTAAACATTATTCGGATCTATTGGTTAATCTTCAACAACTAGCTGGTGTCACCTGAAATAACTATAGGGACTTTCCCCGGACGCAAATCTGCCGCTAAACCGATCCGCATCCCTAATAGTCAAAAGACTAGCAACCTTAGTCAAAAGACTCGCATCCTTAATAATCATAAAGGCTCGCATCCTTGATAGTCATAAAGACTCGCATCCTTAATAGTCGTAAAGACTGACATTCTGGATAGTCAAACAGACTGGCATCCTAATAGTCAATGAGACTCACATCCTTAATAGTCGTAAAGACTCACATCCTAATAGTCATAAAGACTCGCATCCTTATAAGTCATAAAAACCTAACTTAATCTAACCTAACCTACCCAAAGCAACCTTAGTCCAAAGACTCGCACTCTTAATAGTCAAAATGACTCGCATCCTTAGTCCAAAGACTCGCATCCTTTATAGTCAAAAAGACTCGCATGTTTAATAGTCAAGAGGACTCGCAACCTTAGTCATAAGACTCGCAACACTACTTTACACCCGGCCGGCCCGTCTACTACTGACTCGCCGGCAAGCTAAGCCTGTCCTCTTACATCACAATTTTACCTAATCGCAAATATTTACATGGCTTATCAATGAATAATACTATTTTCTCTAATCAACTTTCAAATTAATAGAGTGTTCTAGCATTACTAGATAAATATATAGAGAGTTTCCGAATTATAAAATCATTATTATAACCAACTTATTTTCCAAGTTTTACATACTAACATACCAAATCTTTTTTTTATCTGAAAACATAAAAAAGCTATAGAGGTGAGCCACTTTTGATACGCACCCGGTATACTATACGAAGAAAAAATATCTTTTGTCGGTAATTACAAAATTTAGTGTGTTGAAATTTTTACAAGATGGTTTCGACCGACAGTCGTTAACAATTTAAAACTATTTGAAACCAGTTTTAAAAAATAGTTTTAAATATAAAGAACATATTCGTATTTTTAGTTTTTGCCCACATTAAACAGAATTAATGACTCTTGATCAATACCAAACATATAAAATAATATTCTCACATTCTCACAACTCTCTTCGATAGCTTTTCTATTAGATTTCTCTGTCGTTGTTTTGTTGTCTTTCACATTTTATTGGTCAATAATTCAGTGTAAACAAGGCTTAATAATGCTTGTTGTTATGCTCTACGAGACAAAAGGACACTTGCACGCCTTTGTTGTAAGTTTATATCTGAAAACAAATAGAAATAAATTTGGTAAGACAAGTAGCAGCTTGGCATACTTTTTAATGGGATGTTAGGTGGATATCAAGTTTCCAAGGTGCGGTATTGGAATAATTTGATGGGTTGAATGGAATACAGGAACGTACAAATATTTGTTTGTTGATTATATCGATTCTTTTTAATAATTTTTATGAATTGAAGTTGTTTTTTTTTCCAAAAATGCATTCCGAAGTCAGAGTTGCAACAGATCAGTTTCAAAAAGGTTTAAATCTTAAACTCTTAAAATAAAAATGATTTAAATCTTAAATCTTTGACTTAAATCATTTTCTTCCAAGCCAAGTCATTTTCGTAGACTTAAGTCAGTATAATACAATTTAAATCGTTTTCATGAAATCTCTTACTAGTATTAGTACTGAGTGGTAATTTAAATATTAACCATACTTTTGGAACAAGTGCATATTAGGGTGTCCGTTATTTACAAAGTTGACCATTTCTCGGCTCAACTTTCGTTTTGCTGAAATCTGTTATATAAAAAATGACTTTATATATGCGTTCTAGAAGACGTTAGGAGTACAAATATACAAAAATTTTCCTGCGGAAATGCGTCATTTTCATTTTTCGGCCTTTAGTATAGCCGAAATTTGTTACATCAAAACTAGTCTTCGGGTTGTGTTTCCGACATTTTGTGTTTCCGACATTCGACATTTTTCTAAACATAAAAACACAAAAAAGTGTCTGCGGAAATTTTTTATTTTTATTTTATATAAAAAAAATGCTTTGACTTTAGAATAGCCGAAATCAGTTACATGAAAAATGAACTTATATTTGTTTTATACGAGCCTTTACGAGCAAAGAAATACAAAAAAATTCCTGCGGAAATGTGTCAATGTCATTTTGTGCACTTTGTTTTTCATACATTTTTCAGTTTAGAAGCTTACGGGACCCGGCAGCGAATAGGGGTGCTGGGTGGGGTAAAACATCTTTCGGAGGAATAACAATTCTTGTAGAATAGATAATATAGGTTCTTGTAAACTATAAGTACCTCGGAATGTTGCACTTATTCTTGTTTTTTATTAAAGCTTTACGTAAATAGGACTGATTCAAAACAAAAAATCATTGGATCATGCCCCCAGTTTTCTTTTATATTTTAATAACTAACTGTGATTTTGCAAAAATATTAGATTGGTTAGTATTTGGGTTGCTTTGGTTAACTTTTCTTTGTGGAGGGTGTTAAGCTGTGGTTTTTATATTTTAATAATTAACTGTGATTTTGCAAAAATATTATTAGATTGGTTAGGATTTGGGTTGCTTTGGTTAGCTTTTCTTTGTGGAGGGTGTTAAGCTGTGGGTTTTATATTTTAATAATTAACTGGTGATTTTGTAAAAATATTATTAGATTGGTTAGCATTTTAGACACTTTTAAATGATTTTTTTGGTTCAAAAGTGATAAAAAGATAATTTTTTATGTATTTATGCTTACAAAAATGAAAAATGAAAATCAAGCATTTCCGGGAAATTTGATATTTTCCTGAGTTTGTAAACGCTTCTAAAAGGCAAAAATATATTTATTTTTTATATAACTGATTTCAGCTATTCTAAAGTCTATTAAATTTCCTCAGAAAATGGATACAGTTTATTTCCACAGGAAAATTTTTATATTCGATTTAGATATTTCTTCTTATACTCGCTTACAATCTGAATCACATATTATTTTTCATCTTCACTTCTAGTATTAATGTATTCTTCTGACAATTTAACAGCTCTTTCTGCAGTATCAATAACTCTCATTTTTTTTACAATTTCTTATATATAATTTCTTATATAATATATCCAAGATACTTTAAACATTCCGTACTGTCTAACTGCAGAAAACTTGTATCAATATTAAACCGTGTAAAAAATTGTAACGAATTTCAATTTATGAAATAATCAATCTTCTTGTTTATAAACCATTTAAAATCATCCTGATTAAAAATGAAGCGTTTAGAAATATTGAACTCTTCGTCATTATTCACTTTTAAAGCTTCAACCATTTTCTGCCTGATAGGTACTATAATAAGTATTAGAATTAATTACCTGTCATGCATTCAATTGTTTTTCATGATTCAAAATTGTTTATCATGGTATGAAAATTGCTTTTTTTTTTAAATAATAGATTAAATTTTTCAAAAATAAGAATAATTTTGTCAAAGAAGTTAAAAAATTTAGGAATTTACCGAGTGGTTAACTTTAACCGTAAATAACTTTTGAAGGAGTAGGTTTATCGAAAAATTATAAGAGCCCTTTTTTGTAGAGCGTTCAATTCTGTGCTAGTGATTGTCATGGCTGTGACAGAACAAGATCGGGTGAAAAAAAAATTATTTGCAAAAATTGGCAAATTCCTATGTAATTTAAATGGGAAATGAATCGTCTTTGGGGCAAGGTTTATTGTGAATATTAAGGGTTAACAAAGGTCTGTTATTTTTTTAGACAATAAACTAAAAATTTAGAGGGCGTCGTGAGAGAAATGATCAACTTTGTAAATAACGGACACCCTAGTGCATACATATATATAAATACTTAGGACGAATACTTAGGACTACTTTAAATAGAAAAATACTTAAGACATGAGATCGGTATTAGAAGGGATAATCAGACCCACGAAATTCTACGAAGATTAGGTTTGTCGTGGGCGGCATTCGGTAAACTAAAGCATATACTGCGATCTGATCTTCCAATATGTTTAAAAAGAAAGGTCTTTAACCAATGTGTCTTGCCTCTCCTCACGTATGGAGCTGAAACACTTACTTTGAGAAATATGAACATACATAGAATATAGGTCGTACAACGAAAAATGGAAAGGTCCATGTTGGGAATTACTCTTAGGGATAAATACCCAATCATACCATACGAAATCGAACAGGAGTAAGGGATACGGTGATATCTGTCTTACATCTTAAATGGAATTGGGCAGGACATGTGGCTAGGATAGGGTTGCCAACCGTCCTATATTTCAGAGGACAGTCCCCTCTTTTTGATCGTACTGTCCTCTTTTCTCTGGCGCATCGAAAAAATCCTCATTTTTACACAAATGTGTTTGGCAACAGCATGTCTTTTCCACTCTTTCACACAGAAAAGAAATATTTACTTACGTACAAGAAATATTGGTGGATGCGCTAAGTAAAAAAGGCCATTATCCTTATAACGTTTATATAACTTTTAGGTAAATTCTTGACATTTGAGCGAGGTGTAAACATTTTTTCGCCTGTCCCGTTTTTTTACACTCGCGTCCTCTATTTTTAATTTTAAAAGTTGGAAACCCTAGGGTAGGATAACAGATGGACGGTGGACAAAGAGACTTATGGAATGGAGACCAAGACACGAGGCCTATAGAAGCAGAGGACGACCTTCTAGTCGATGGACAGATGATATTAAGAGAGTGGCTGGAAACTGGATTCAAGTGGAGTTGAAGGGTTTTGTTTAGAAGTGGACGGAATAAGCTAAATGATGATGATGATGATAAATCATCATCATCATATCATATTATTTTATTTAAATCCTGATAATCTGCGAGTTAAGTCTGCAAAGTGACTTAAATAAAAAAATAAGCCAAATAAAACAAATATTTATTATATTATACCTCCTCCCTCCCTTAAATTTATAAATCATTAAATAGAATAAATCAAAATTATATGTACGTAAAATAGACGGTTCAATTAAAGTTAAATGAGAAATTATTATCAGTAAAATTTAAACAGGATATTTTGCAATTTGCTCTAGTCTTAAAATAGACATTAAATTATAGTTTATTACGACAAAATTATACGGTATTTATTACAGGCTCTACGACACGCTGTTACAAGAAGCTAGTATTAGCTCTTTTTTAGGTCAATTTAATTAAACATACTTTATACATAGACTAAAAATTTCAATCTTTTAATAGTTATAGAATTTTAATTGTTATAGTTTAATAATATATTAGAAAAGGATTAAAAATTAAAGACTCAAAGTAATAATATATCTATTAGTATGTTAGATACCAAGTAGCAAAACCTGTGTAAAGTACAGAGATTGGCATGCACCTGCATCACAGGTGCTATGAGAAGATGTCCAATACCAACAATGGAGGTCATCCTAGACCTAATACCACTGCACATTGTCGGCGGTAGCTATGCCGAGGCGACAA